AGGTGAGCTGAATAGATCTGTAGGTTAGCTGACTGGACCTTTGGTTAGCTGACTAGACCTGTAGGTTAGCTGAAAATCACCTGGGCAACGTTAGCTAACTCACGGAGAAGACGTGGAATCAGGATTTCATGCTTAAACCATCTACACATATCTCGTCTTGTGTTTGCAGGGATGAAGAGTGGAGCCGTTTTCTGGAAGACTCTAAAGAAGTCACAGGAGTTAGTGAAGCAGTAACCCCAAAGCTGCCACCACTGACTGAAGCCGACTGGTGCTAACCTGCTGATTGGACGTCTCTGAATGTAATGTTGCGTTACTGGAAGCAGCCTTTTCAGCTTTGAAGGTCGTCAGGTTTAAAACACAACATGTAGACGAGGGGCCTGGCATGTAGATACTAAAATAAGCACATTTATGAAGTGAACTGAACGTGATGTGAGTGGGGGCGGGTTTCCCCTGGTGTCTGTTGAAACACACCCACAGGTGTGTCTGGGGCCTCAGACCTTGTGAACAAGAATTTCAACTTTACAACTGAACGAGCAGTTCCTGCACATTGTTCCCTGGAGCTCATAAAGCTGCTCTGGAAACTTGAGGAGGAGGTGCTGAGACCTGGCTGGCTGCTGACTGATCACTGAGGAAGCATGGCGGCTGTGGTGGGCAGAGCGTGGGGCTGGGTGCGCTCATTTGGAAGCAGCACCACGTCAGAGAGTTCTGCAACTTTGAAATCTGAAGGCCACAAACAGCATGGCTGTGATGACCGGGGCCTCAGGGGATGGACCTCTTGGATTTGGGGAGGGTGGAGACATCGAAGTGACCAAAGTAGTCCAGTGGAGGAGTACTGGGAGGCACAGGAGAAGTTTCCAGCCATGGAAATTGAAGATCTTGGAGCAGGGAAACAGGGAACTGAGGGAAATTTACAGGCTTCCAGGTGGTGGAACAGATACATACCCTCTTACTTTTGGCCCAGAACAACAGAGTTAAGTGGACTCCGACGAAGGAAGCGTGATGGTCGGGGTGGAGAGGCGGGGAACCGTGATGTTGACGGGGACTTTTCTGACTACGGAACTCCTCCTCCATCACCTACACCTTCCTCTCCTCTGACGTCTCCTTTTCGACTGTTTGCGCACAGCTGGAAGGTGGAAGTCTCACCAGAGCATTACGAGATTTGTTTCAACTTTCTTCGCCACCTGTTTGACCTTTTCGTCGTTGGTTTCCTGTGGACGGTGTCTCCTCCTACCAAGGTGATCCTGGAGGTGTTGGGCATCCAGGGAGCGCTGAGGCTGTGGTTTCATGGCATGGCCATGTTTTTTGTCTCTACCGTTGGAATGGCAGGATTACTCTGGTTGATCCAGGAGTATCTTCCACAGTTTGCTTTGTTGTACGGCATCATACAGGCCATAGTGATCTCTGTCAGCGTTCGACAGAGCGTGATCCTCGGCGGGGAGGAAGAAAACGAAGAAAAGGAAGAGGAGGTGAAGGAGACAGAAGTTCTGAGGGACAGTCGGGAACTCAGAGAAAAATCTCTGTCTGGTAAAGACAAGTTGAAGACAAATTAAACCTGAGGTGAGTTCCTGAGGTGAGCTGTGTTTGAGTGATCCTGATCAAATGTAGCATTTCTACTGCATCAGGCAGAGACCAGCATCCATCTGCTCTCACCATCGTACACCAGCTGTATGTTTACAGAGTTTGTCTTTTCCACAGGTAGTGAGAAGTTACCGTCAATCCAAGAGTCCATCACGGTGTGGAGCAGCATCATACCCCTCCAGCATCACAACAGTGGGCCTACACTGACAGACTTTCACTGCAGCCTGAATTCAGCAGTGGGACTCGTATTGCACATTTATTACACATTCACTAAAGTTGTACTTGTCTCACTTTATGTTCAGCACCATAGATATGCATCTTACGGATATTTGTGTTCAATTGATCTGAATGTTGTCACTGAATGTTGACAGCTACAGCCATACGACGCTCCGCATTGGACTTAATGTTATCAGAGGTAGAGATAACAGGGGCTGTGAACGTTCAAGAACAGCCTGTTAGTTTAAGTAATGCTTTTATTTACACTTTATTTCTTGCTCTGTGGTACTACTTTTCTCCTGATTGCTTGAGACGGTCACTAGTTCTCATACCACATGTGCGTTTTTTGTGAGAAGTGATTATCACGTGTGATCAAACCACCACGGTAACAAACACTAGAACTGTCTGGTTTAGAGAAAACACTGTAGGGCAATGGATGAAGCAGCATTTGAGGACAGATGGGCTCACCGTGTGCATTTATAGGCAAACATTAGTACAACAACAATACCACGATGCCCCTGAAACCCAGGTCACCAGAGGAGGAGGTACTGACTAAATGAAAGCCTTACTGACTAGTACACCACAGCAAACATCTGGTTTGAGCTTCAGTCATACTATCTGTGGTTGCTCCTCATTCAGGACACTTAAGAGCAAATTACATTTGTAGGTCCTCGTTAAACTCATTGCGTATCACGTGGTTACAGTCTGGAACAAACACACACTTTTAGGAACACGTATATCATGGCAGTCTTAAGCTTCCGGTGACTTCTAGAACCTTAAACTTTCAAATCCATGCATCTGTGTTGGAAAAAAAAGCAATCCTGCATTTTGGTTATTACATAAGTTTGTCAAAGGTTTTCTGGAAATATGACAGAGTCTGCTGACACAGCAATGCTAATATTAGGTTAAACAGCCGACGACCATTTTAGGCGTCATAAGTGGCCATCGACAAGCTCCTGGTTCTATTTGACCGCTGCACTTGACAGAATTGGTTCAGTTAAACTAAATTAGTCGCCCTTCTGACACAGTGAAGAGGTTTCAGTCAGGGCTTTGGGGAGGTCAATCTAAAACCTTAATTCCAGTCTAATTCAGCTGTTTCTTTTATGTGTGTTTGGTCCTTCCTAATTATTCCATTTACTTTATGTAAAGCACCCAGAGCATGATACTACCACCTCCATGCTTGATGGTAGGTATAGGTGCTCTTGGGGTTAAGGGCCTCACCTTCTCTTCTGCAAACATATTTCTGGTTATTGTGGCCAAACAGCTCAGTTTGTGTTCCATCAGACCAGAACTTTCTTCCAGAAGGCCTTCGTCCATGTGGTCAGCAGCAGACTTGAGCCCAGCCTTCAGGTGCTGCTTCTGGAGAAGGTCTTGGACACTGACACCTGTGGTCCAGCAGCTTCTCATTCACTGCAGACCTGCTTTTTGACTCTAGGCTGACTCTTGACCAAGTGGTTTGGGGATCTGTAGCTGCTTTTAGATGGTTCTGATTGGCTTGGTTCTGATTCCTGACCCGTTGAAGTCAATGATTTGCTTTTTCAGATCTTTGCTGAGCTCCTCCAACTTTCCCACCGTAGTCCGATGAGACTGCCGTTACATATGTGGTCTTTATGGGTGTATGTACACTTTTGTTCACAACTTTATATCCAGTTGGGGTGCAGTTTTAACTAAACTGAATCTGAGTCTGTTTTCAGCTTTGACCTGAGTTTACACAGTCGGCTGCTTAAAACTCAACGTCGTGAAGGCAGCGCTGTGTAATCACTAGACCATTAATGTTACGCTCCCAGAGAACAGGCTGCTACGTCATTATCGTACAGCAGCGACTGAATCAGCGGAGGTAGAGAGCCATCGCTGCTCATCTAGAGGCGTAGACACCAATCAGTCGAGTACCTACACATTACAACGTGTACTGTGGTAAAGCCATAAGAGCTTCTAAACCAGACATGGAACTCAGATGTTGAAGTTAAACGTTTATTAGTGCTCGGTTCTGTTTTATTAGCCGAAGTGGCTTCACCTGAGACGGTTGCTGCTTGTTCTTGTCATCATTATGCTCGTTAAACTTCTCTGTACTTTAGATATTTTCACATTTTGAGACCCGGGTGAGCCGTGGGGCAACGAGTCCTGAAAATCTTACCACATTAACGCGGTTCTGTCGTCGTTTCTCGTGGTGGGAGGTGTGTGCTTAGAAATGTTGAATATGAACTCATGATACCAGCAGCACACTTAAACATTTTCTTTTTTAACACTTTTCTGCCTTAATATCATTTCTGTGCCATAACACTATTGTTTTGAACGTTACAGGGAACATAGGTCACCTTCCTCCTCCACAGGGGTTTTATTTGTATGATGTATTTGTATTTTCTTGTAATAAAATCGATTTAAATGTATGAAAATGAAAAGGGAAAAACAAACATGTAATTTGTGCACAACAGCATGTTTTCCAGTCAACACTCCTGCTGTATGTAACCTGACTGGCCTTGACAGGGGTTTAGAGTTTGCTTACCTGTATTACATCCTGTAGGCTGACAACATGGAAATGTAGTTCACTTAAATGTCTGCTCAGAATGTACGACAGAAGAAATCATAAAAAGGCCAAATACGAACTCATTTTCAAGTCTGCTCCTGAAACTTCATTTTCAGGGTTCGAGCTTTTTCTTAAAGATGTTTTCACTTGAAAGCACTGCTGTGTTTTAAATATTAAGATTTATTAGTGAGTTAGTTTTACTTTCATTGTCAGAGCCATAGACTTCATGGAGAGCCTGTTGCTTCTTGTATTGCACCATATCTAACCCACGAACAGCCACTATTTCTACTGCTCTGTTGCTTCTCAGTTATTGCTTGCTTATGTGGGACTTTTACTGCAGTGAGATTAACACTAAGGATCCCTTGTAAGGAGAAATATTTTTATATGAGCAGCCACATGCTGGATTACTGGAGGAAGGACCTCACTGATGGTGTAAGTTTAACCAGGATGAAGAACAAGAGGGAAGCTCCTGCTGTGACTTATTACTGTACAAGCCAGCGCTGTGCTGAGGTTGGATGTTCCCAACGGGTAATTAAAGTGGTTGCTCTTTTATTAAACTGTCTACTTGTCTTGCTTTTAATTCCCAACACAGTTTGTGAAATTTTACATGAAACTAAGCAATCGCAGTTTTGGCCCACTGGTTATGTGGGATGACCTGAACAGGAAAACAATGGAACAGCCAGCTTAATTTGAATCAGTGGTTAGCGCCGTCACCTCACAGCTAGGAGGTCGCCGGTTGGCGTCCCGGTGAGGACACCCGGGATCTTTCTGCGTGGAGTCTCTATGTTCTCCCCGTGCAGCGTGGGTTCTCTCCGGGTTCTCCGGCTTCCTCCCACAGTCCACAAACATGCTGAGGTTAATTGGTGATTGTAAATTGTCCGTAGGTGTGAATGTGAGTGTGCTTGGTTGTCTGTCTCTAAGTGTAGCCCTGTGATAGACTGGTTACCTGTCCAGGTGAACCTGCCTTCACCCTGAGTCAGCTGGGATAGACTCCAGCCCCCCATGTCTCTGGTTGGGATTAAGGTGTAGAGATAATGGGTGGATGTTTCTGTTCATTTATGGGCAGCTGTGGCTCCGGCGGTAGAGCAGCTTGTCACAAGGTCGGCAGTACCGCCACAGTCACTTCGGCAACACACTGACATTTAATTACCAATATTATTTTTAAGCCTACTGAGAAGAAAACCATGGTCATGTTCTGGAATGTACATGGACTGTTGGGCCTCTTGTTTTTCCACTTGGGTATTATGCATCACCTCAGGTATTCACTGTGGTCATAACTACACAACTTAACATGTGATCATGTACAATGTAAGCCCAGAAACTTACAATATTCAAATCTACTTATGACACTTGGATGTTTTTCGGGATAGGGCAACAAATGAGGACTCCCACAACATCATAATATTCATAATATGGAGATTGCTGGTTAGCATTTGCCTGCATTGGAGCAGGTCACATGATGAGGGCAAGCCCAACAACTCATTACCGTGAAGCACTGGTTTGGTCTCCAGCGGCTCTCTGGCTGGGTAGTGGTGCATACAGCGCCTTCAGAGCTCTTTACTCTGGAACGAGGCTAACGGGAGCACCGCAAAGACCCAAACTATGAGCTAAAAATAAGTCTGTAAAAGTCTTAAAAAGCTGAGGCAATAATTAGACTGGGTTGTTAGAATGAGCGACACATTTTTAATCCATTATTAATTAAAATAAATAAATAAATTCAGCTTCAAAGTCCTATTTACATCAGCTGATAGTGCACAAAAGCTATGCATATCCACAGTCCAGACAGAGCAGCAGTCAATCAGATCACCACAAGCCAGATGTTTTAATCAAGCCTTTGGATCTGACTGGAAACGGAGTCCACCTTTGTATATTTATGCAATGCTGCAGATATGGATTCATCTGTTTAAGTCCCTTTTTCACATATTTTTTTGGGGGTAATGAAAAACATGTCTTATTAGTGGATACTCAATATAATACGCCTCAGCAGTGCCTTACTCCTCTCTAGTATACAACACACATCGATAAACCTTTTTGATCACAGTCCAAAACTTTAATTAACATTAAATCTGTTTTCATCATGTCAGTAGTATATACAGGAAGGTGTATTGCCAGTATAAGAACAATGTACATATGTAGTGATGTCAATGTGTGCACATAAAGTGGTGGCATAAATGAACGGAGTATAACACACGGTACTGTCACATGACGATGATGATGATGATGATGATGATGGAGCGTGTATCAGGTAAGTTTTGGTCATAGCTGAGACAATGCCTGGGTCTGCAGTCATGCAACCTCCCCTCATCTGTTCTGCTCTGTAAACCTTATCAGCTGTGATCCAGTCACACCCGGGTCAGGACTGGACCTCCACACATGGAACAGCGCTGTGTCTACACTGATTCACCAGACAGCATAAAGCAAAGAGCGTAGCAGGAAAAGAACAAATATCCATCATTGTGGAATAAAGTTCAGAGGGAAATGTAGATTTTATTGTCTGACTTCAATTTAATTTAATTTAATGGGAGCCTGTGAGTACTTCATCCAAGGAGTTAAGTGAATGAATGCATCTAAAAAATGGTCTTTTCTTTTACTAATCCATCTTATACTAATGTTTACAACACAACCATCCTCTAACTTCCCTTCATTCATCAACAGCCCCTGCAAAGAAAGAGCTCCACAAAACTATTCTGCTAAAACGGGTCTTACTTTGTAGAATTGTCTAGTGGATACACCAACCAACCAACCAATCAACCAATCAAACCATTAACCAACCAACCAACCAACCCACCAACCAACCAACCAACCAACCAACCAAGAGGATTTCTAAGGTAAGAATACCAATGATGAGTCTGGTAATGAGGTTTTATCAAATCTAATGTCAGAGATATAAAAAAGAAAAAATACAGAGTGATATTTATGGTTACGTTATTACAGCTAAGGCTAAAAGCTAAACTTTAACTTCGGTAGCTGATTTTAACAGAGCTACAACTCTGACTTGCTATATTTTGTCTCCAAACCACATCAACTGCCAACTGCTGAGGCCTTCTTTCTTCATATGTAGTTTGACAAATTCAGGCTTACATGATATTAACCAGATATAATTATCTAGATAAGCTTAATCCAGCTAATGCAGTTTGGCAAATGTCCAGCATTTCAGCCTTGGATAAAGCTATCTCTTGACAGCAAACTATTACGATGAAATCACAGCAACATGAGGAAAAAGCAAAACAAGCACAGGCAGGATTGGCTGGAATGATTTCAGGGCTAAAGATGCATAATTTCAAATGAGTGATATTCAAACAGATTCCCACCATAGTCAGAATTATAACAGATGTTTGAGGCCATCACATTTGAAAATGTCAAAAATACTCAATAATACACCAATCAATTGTGTCTGTAAATATATATATAATAAATCAGTTTTGAATTCTAACCAACATAAACCTCTCGAACAAACAACAACAACAAAAAAACAGTTGCTAAAGCTAGCATAGAGATGAAATGCTTGTTTCATGTCCTGGATCGACTGTAGCATTTAAAACCAAGTTCAAAGCAGTGTTTTTTTCAGGTGTATTTTAACATGTACACGTATTTACTGTGAATAAACTGTGATGATTATACACATTTTACATTTTTTTTAATAATTCAATAATATATGTGCTCTCTCCCACTGTTTTTTAATACCAACGTCAAAGACGATGTTTCCTGGAGACACCTTTATACATTTGTGATTGTAAATTGTTAAAAACAAACAAACAAACAAACAATATGTATCTTTAAAGGAAAAGCTCCATTTAGATTCTTAGTTTTTCTTCTGGGTTATTTGGAATTAATTTATTGAAAATGTGAATGGTCCCAGTTCTGGAAACTTTCTGATTGAAATAACAATGATCCTGAAACACTTGGATCTGAGACAGAATTGATGTTTAAGGTTTGAAAAGACCAGCTCGTGACACATTTACCAGGAACATGTTTAAACTTTCCTCAACTTAGAACATTTCATGAATCACTTTATTTGTATGCAGGTCAGTGTTTGGAAACAAGTGGTCCAGATCAACACGTGGTCACCTCCTCCTACAGCTACAGCCATGTTGCATCACTGATCATTCACATGGTTCCTTCATGATTTACTGTGAAAATCAAAATTCAACGATTTTACAAAAATCCTAAATAACAAATAAATATTTCGCTGAGTCTGTGGGATAAAGAGTCATTTTTATCTGAGGATGACTGAAAACGTTTCGTGCTGCATCTAGAAGTCACGCTCCACGTGTGAAGATTCAGGCTGAAGTTATTGTGGTTTTGACAACAGCTTCAGATACACTTTCTGAAATTAGCCGATCCTAACGCTGGTTACTAACGTCTAACAGAAAATACGGGGGGGTGATGAAAGCATGTAACTAGGATACTGCCAAATATGGTTGGTCAGCACTCATCACAAAGACTGTGTTATCTTTTAAACTGATCTACAGCTCACCTGGAGGAGCTGGCGTCCCGTGTCGTGAGTTCAAGTCCTGCTCATGACCCTTCCTCCCCACTTTCTTGTCTCTCTCTGTCCTATCTAATAAAGCCAAAAAAAAAGGCCAAAAAATATCAGTAAAAATGACCTAGAGATCAAAAACAGCAAACCTCAAAATAAAAGTGAGATCTTTGTGGGTCTGTTCTCATCCTCACATAAAGGCTAGTTACTGTGATCAGCTTCATGTCAAACATCAGCAGAATTCAAACCAGAAAACACATTTTTAAATAAACAAACAATGTGCTGCATTACATACATGAACTCTGCCACTTTACCAAAGGAAATGAGACAGCCGGACAGCGTATTATTGCCTCTCTAGCTCCAAAACTCTCACTGTACTGTGTTCCAGAGATGCCTCCCAGTCAGAAAGTCCACTCTACTGCTGCAGTGTGATCGCATTAGAGGCACCGAGTCCACTCTGATTATAGTGGTGCTGTAATTGGTGCTTTTTATGTGTTAGCCAAGTGGTGATCTTCCATTACTGCTGATGGGTCTGTGTGTCGTTGGCAGCCATTCATTATCACAATAAGAAGTTGTATTGTTCAAGTCCTGTAGCTCATCCTAGTTCTGTGATGCACATGCGTGTGACTTATGGAAAGGAAAACAGGGCAAAATGTGTCACGTGATTAATGGAAAAATGTTGATTGTTTGAACAGTCAAATCCAATAAGTTCATATTTAGCTTTTTTGATAAACACGACCCTGTAAGACTCAGAATGTGCCTGTTTTTTCTGTGACATTCCAAACAAAATATCTAATAAATTGAAGAAAATGAAATACAGTGAACTAATTAATCACACCATCAATAAGTTGATTGTCATAAAAATGATTTGTGTCTATTCTGCTGCTGCTGAATTCTCACAAGAAACTTTCTCCAAACTTTTTTCTGGTTTTTTACCACTTCGTACACAAAAATTTTATAAATGTGTCTATTTGGCAGATGAGCTGCTCATCAGCTACGACCTTAATCTACACAACACGGGCGGCTAAAACAAAAGCATAAAGATCCATGTGACGGATTAGAAACCTTAGAGTTTATTGTGATAGCATAGTGAAAGGAATAGAAGCTGACGACTGACCGGGGAACAGAAAAGCATCTGAGAAGCTACCCTTATATTACATGCTTTGGGAATGCACAACAGTAATGTACTGCATATGGCGTGTGATGCATTTTAAAAGGGATAAAACATGCAAAAAACACTGAAGTTACCCTTTATTATCAGAGTACGTCTACGTTGTAACTGAAAATGAGCCGTCATTCCACATTACATATGTTATTCAGCACAACACTGAGCATGCTTTTAGATGTTGAGAGGAGAGCGTGGTTTTCAATTAGCCTAATTCAATCATCCATGACGTAGCTCTGCGCGTCTCAGAGCCGAGTAGCAGCGCAGACGTCGTGGTTCTGCTCCAGCAGCCGGGACTTTCTGACTCATAACTGCAACACAGCATCGGGTTTGCCAGTGATGGAGCTAAACTAAAACAAGAGTGCAGTTTTGTGTGTCACTGTGTGGTGCTCATTAGTGGCTGTGTGAGCCTCCAGAGTTTGGAGGCACCGTGGCCCCCCCGCCCCCCCTCTGTCCGTGACCTCTCCTGCCGTGGCCCAGGATGCAGTGGGCGCTGCCGCAGCCTTCGTCGTCGTCGTCTCCCTCGCTTTCAGAGGACGACTCTCCGAACTGTCGGGGCTTCTCGTAGATACAGCAACCTGAAACACAATGCACAGTGTCAGGGCTGATCTAGGGCATCTAGATCTAGAGCTGGTGGCTGTTGGAAAATCAAACACACAGCGTGACACCTTGTTCACACATGTTTGGTCTGAAATAGTCACTAAAGGGAGCCGGTGATAAAAATAGGTTTCCAGCTGCTGTTAGATTTCAGAAATCAAGTCGTGCTGCTGGAGGATGAAAAGGCAGCGTTAGGTATCGAGGGTTTTACTGCACAATGAGTGTTGTAATTACCTGATTACCTAAGCCTTGATGTTAATTACTTTGGGTGTTAATCAGTTTGGGGAGGAAGGATTTCTGAGAGAAAAGGATTCTGACATGATGGCAGCTTTCCACCAAACAACACTTTAGAATTCTTTGAATTTTATACAAAATTTTGCCCTTTTTTACAAAAGCGCTGAACTGCCATTCCTCAAACAAACAAACGGATCAGTATCATCTTATTATAACGTGAAACTATATCACTTGTAGCCTGTTTTCTTTACACCGTAGGGTTCATTTTTCACCTGCTGAAGAGACGGCAGCACTATGGGAGGAAGGTGAGCTGGCAGAAGCAGTGAGATGCTTTGGACCATGTTCTGCTGGGAAACCTTGGTGTCCCAGCATTCACGAGTCATTCAGTTGACATGTACCACCTTCATGAACATGGCTGCAGACCAAGTACACTAGTTCATGGCAACAGTACACCCTGATGGCGGTGTCCTGTACAGCAGGATAATCAGCCTGCCACGGTGCAAACAGTCATCGGGCATGTCTGGGATGTGCTGGAGAACAAGTCTAATCCCTGGAGTCCCCACCGAGCAACTTGGAAGACTTTAAGGATCTGACATTGACAATTTGGACCCTTATAGTACAGAACAGAGCCTTGATGGATTAAGAGTCAGGGGAACCTGCACTATGAGCCAGGTGGTTGTAATGTTCTGGTTGACTCAGTGTAAGTCTTCCGGTTCAGGCTAATATCTTAACTTTATTATACTTCTGTGTGCAGTGTAATAAGGAAGAAGAACTCACACTTTGAAGACCTTCTTCCCAGGTGTTCATTGTCGACGGTGTCACTGGACCACTCCACCTTCTTCTCAGTCTTTCTCTTCCTCAGCTTGATTGTCAAGCTTCGTCCCTCCTGTAACACGTAAGAGGTCGGCTGTGACACACTGGACATCCAACAGAACTGGGCCGAGTGTTAAATCCTGTCCCACTAAACTATCCATCCATCCATCCATCATCTCTACACTGCTTAATCCTCACTAGGGTCGCTGGAGGCAGGTTCACCTGGACAGGTAACCA